GTAGGTTTGTGTTTTATGAATTTGCAGTGTTAGAGAATAGAAACCTAAAATGTCCATATTTGTAAAGATCTGCTGAAAGGAAGTGGGAAATAGAGAATGTACTACAGTATGTAAGCTGAGAGAAGTGGCTTTGAATATGTTTCCTATGAAAATTCAGAAATGTATGTAATGCATGGCTGTTCCTGAAGGTGAGGAGCTGTAACTCCAGAGCTAAGCATGGAAATAACTGGAGTTTTTTAAACTTCCTTTCTCAGATGATGAGTTTTTTGCTGCACGTCCTTCCAGAAGCATTGTTAGCCTGGACTTTGAATCTTTCCTGGATGGTGAGATTTTTGAATATTGTGAAAGTAGCAGCCCTGCCAATCTTATATTGGGAAGACTAAATGTCTGCTCAATCTTCTAATGCTTTATGAAATGGCTTTTCAAACATTTCTGGTTTTCTTTTGTGTTGCAGAGGAACAAGCTCCACCCTCCTCATGTTTAGTCCACAAACTCATCTTCCAGTTCATTGAAAGTCGGGGATGCTGGCAGAAAAAGTGTCCCAAACTGTGCTACTTGCCCCAGGTAACACTCCAGGGAAACCCAGAAGGCTCTGGAAAAAAATCCAATTATTATTTTCTGCAACAGAGGAAACAGAGCTGAGCTGAGATCAAGAGCACCTCAATGAAAACTTCAGGAATGCAAATCAAAATGGGCCTCAGAAATAGTTCTGAGGTGTGAGGGGAAATATCTGTCTCTGAAGGGAGGAGTCCTAAAAGCTGAAGTTTATTAAAAAAACTTTTTTTTTTTGCCTTAAAGAAAAGAAAATTGAGCTGAAGGTCATTTTGCCTCCTAAAGAATGTAGGTTTAAATTGCCAGGCCAAACTTTTGTGTTGCTGCGTGGCTGTTGGCAAAGCTGAAAGGACAAAAAGCAAAAAATATACATTTGTTATACTTGTACCATTTCATTTTTCCATCCAAACTGGGGTAGCAGTTAAACCATGTTTATTTTTTACACTTTCTAGGATGAGTTATGTGTTCAAGCATCACATAGTCACCCCCTGAGTGCTGATGTTGCTTTCTGATTGCTCCCCAGGCTCTCTTGGACATCTCCTTGGTGGTGAATCGCTGCAAAATCTTGGGAGATGAGTTGGAATTTCTGCAGAGGTGGGGTGCAAAATTCCAGCTCCTGGAGACAGATATCAAAGACACAGAGTGAGTAAATTCAGAAAATTGTGGTAGCATTGTTGGGGTGTCCTGTGCAGGGCCAGGAGCTGGACTTTGATGATCCTTGTGTGGATCCTTTCTGACTCAGGATATTCCCTGATGCAGTCAGATGGAGTTCACAGTGGCCTTAAGAGGGAGTTTCTAGATAATCAGAAGCAAAACACTGAAATAGTTTCAATTTGGTTTTCTTAAAATTGATATTTTTTTGCTGCTGTTTTTAAGAATAATTTAATTTATTTTCATACAATTGCACTGTAGTGTCCCAGTGCATGGAAATTAGGCTGCTCATGGATTCATTGATTTTAGGATTATGAGACAGCCTCTCCTTCCTTGCTCTTTTCCTGCTTGACTTGCCTTTCTTAAATATTGAGGCCAAATTGTAGCAATGCAAAGGAAACAGAGCCAAGAGTTTACCTGTAGCTGAGGGCTTTGTTTCATTTAATCTTACATTTTCCTCAGCCGAGCAGAATCAGTCATGGAAGGAGGGATGCACTGAAACTGAGGTTTACTTTCTTTACTTTCCATTTCCCCTTGCTACTTCCCAATTTTGTGGCATGTCCCAGTGGTACAACACAAACACAATTTCACCTCATCCTTCCATTACTGATGAATATCTTTAATTAAGAAGTGTCTAATTATGAACTTGCTCTGCCCACCTTGGTGCTGTTCCATAGGTTATTCTAATTTTGTAGCTCCCTTTGCAAGAGTGCTAAAAACCCTGTGGAACTGGAGGTAAATTAGTCCTATTTAAAGCATTAGAAAACCGTAACTGCCTGGGAATGTTTCATGTTAACTAGAAAATGTGTTTGTAGTCTCTATTCTCCCCTAATTTCTGGATTGTTCTGTGAATTATGTGTGCATTAACTCTTCCTGTGGGGGAAGTTGGGGGTTTGCATTCTGAAGTGTTGATAAAGTGTGAAGGGCAATTTTTATCTTATTGCTGAAGTTCTGTGGGTCTGTCCTGGAGCTCTTGAGAAGTTACTGTGCTTGTTGCATCAGTGGCATCACTTATTTCTGCTGCTGGCACTAATTCCAAGGTGGAAGCAGCCCATTTGACTGTTTGCATGGATCTTTGTGTTTATTTCCACAGGGTGAAGCTTCTGTTCTCCTCTTCGGTGGCTTTTGCAAAGTTTGAGTTGAGCCTGGCTCTCTCTCATGATTACCCATCCACTGTTCTTCCCTTCAGGGTGCAGACCCTCATTGGGAATATCGGGTGAGCTGGCAGAGCACCCCTGCATGTGACTCCATCCCAAAGCAGGGATGGGGATTGAACACTCAACATGTGTGATCATTTTATCTTCCCCCAGGGAGAAGGAAGTTGCTGCTGTTCTCTCCAGAGTTCCAGTTGGGCACCACTACCTGCAGAGAGCAGTCAGCTCCATCCATCAGAATCTGCTCCAGGCTCCCAGATAATCCACAGGATCCACAGGCAGGACTGGAGCAGTCAAAATGGGGTAGCCTGTGAGTTTGGTTTTATGAGAATTGCAGCTGTGTCTCCATGAAATGGGGATGCTGTCACCCACTCAGCTCTAGTGTTCCTGCCTATTTAGTTTCCTCATGGCTTAGACCAAGTAGAATGCTTGGTGTAGACCACAAGTTTTACAAAGGCAGAGGTGTCTGAAGAGGAGAAGAAGGAAATTCCTGGATGCCTTGTAAGTTCAAGGTGCTTTTTCTCTTCTGCCAGTCACTGGTGGTCATTCCTGGCACAGATAGTCATGGTTGGGTAGTCATTCCAAGCATGGATATTCTTCTGCCATAGCCCATTAATTTTGTCATTTACAGAGCACTTGGAAAAAGCAATGGTGAGTGTTTTCTAAATTATTACAACTGGAATGTACTTTTGCAGTCATTATTTCACTACCATGTACAATTTAACAGATCCCACCACATCTGGTGTTTATCCATTGCCTGGCACCCCTCCCAGGCCAGACACTATCCCTGCATCTGCTGAATTAACCAGTTAACCTGTAGCAATTCACACCCATCACCAAAGCCAGAAATATTTTTGGAATTAAGGCTAAAAATCCCTGTGCTTGCCCACAGAGTTTGGGATGCAACAGCCTCATATCCATCACTGTGATTCCCTGGCAGAAGTTAGTTCTGACATTGCCTTAGTCCAGCACCATCTCTGGGTGCTGGGGCACTGTCCCAGTTTGGAATGCCATGGAATTCTAGTGAGGAGACTGAACTCCTTAAACTTGGGAGCATCTGTGAGCTCCAGCTTGGTTTTGTGTATAATTTTGTGTATTATGTGGGTCTTGCTGTTGGAACTGATCTCACCCTGTGTTACTGAGCCAAAGCACCAGCCCTGGCTCAGCTCTCAGTTCTGCAGCTGCAAATCTTTGTACCCTGTAAAATATATTGGATTTAAAAATGTTTTCCTGTATTTTAGTGTTTATATATTTTGTCTTTTTACAAAGTTTGTGTCTGTTTGAAAAGTGGAAGTTTAATAAAGATTGGGTTTATCACTCTTCCTGTTTCAATGGGGGATCATGGGCTGCTCTGTTTAAACTGGTGATTGAAAATTCAGTACTAAGTTAAATTAAAAATATTGAAATAATTATTGTGAAGGCTTTTCACAATCTCATGTTTTTTCCTTGGCCTTTCCAGTGCTACTTTTCAATATCCTGGCTTTTCACAAGAATTTATTGTATCTTAATTAGGAAGATAGCACCCAAATAATTCCCAACTCAGGTACTGTACCTGGAACTGGGAATTTCCCCAGGCCCTTCTCTGTGCATCACTAACTAGCAGAGTGCTGTGGCACCTCTCTTTTTTTGGTCTTTTTTGGCTGGTTTTCTTTTCTTTCAGTGGATTTGCACACTGAACCATCAATAACTAAAGACTCGAGTGAGTTTTTGTGGAGTTTATTACATTGCTCTAAACATTGAATCAAAGCAGCAGGTAAAGCCACACATTTGTAGTAGGAAGAGGAGCTCGGGCAGAAATTATTCCATTATCCAGCTTTAAAAAATCATGGAAATCTTCACTTCCATGTGCCAGGCTCCACTCTATGCAAGGCCTCGAGGCAAAGGGATTCCATCAGAGCCAAGGGCTGGAGCTTCCAGTGCGGAATTGCAGCCTCTGCTCCAGATGTGTCTCCACCTGCAGCTGCTCGTTCTTGGCTTCTGAGGAATTGTCACTGCTCAGGAATTGCAGGGGCCGCTGCATTGATGGGGCACGGGCTTGTGCTTCAAGAGGGAAAAGAGAAAATAAGAGAAGGAAAGTAAGAGAAGATAATGGCAAGGAGAGAGAAGCAAAAGGAGAAGAGAAAAAACGAAAAGAGGGGGGAAAGAGAAGGAAAAGCAGGCGGGGAAAGAGAAAAAAGAAGGGCAGAAAGGGGAGAGAGAGAAGGAAAATAAAAACGGGAAAAGGAAACCAGAAGGAAGACAAGGAAGAGAGAGGAAGGAAAGGGGGTGAGAAAGGAAGGCCGCGGTGCTCCGGGGCTGCTGCCCGTGACCCCGTTCCCGGTGCCGTTCCCTGTTCCCGTTCCCCTTTCCCCGGTCCCGGTGCCGTTCCCTGTTCCCGGTCCCGTTCCCCTTTCCCCGTTCCCGGTGCCGTTCCCTGTTCCCGGTCCCGTTCCCCTTTCCCCGTTCCCGGTGCCGTTCCCTGTTCCCGTTCCCGTTCCCCTTTCCCCGTTCCCGGTGCCGTTCCCTGTTCCCGGTCCCGTTCCCCTTTCCCCGTTCCCGGTGCCGTTCCCTGTTCCCGGTCCCTGTTCTCGTTCCCGTTCCCGTTCCCGTTCCCGCGCTCCCCTTTAAGGCGCCGCCGGGGCGGGGCGGCGCCTGCGCGGGGCGGTCACGTGAGGCGGCGGCGGGAGCGCCCGAACGGCCGGAGCGGGGCCGCGGTGAGGGACGGGAGCGGGAGCGGGAGCGGGAACGGGCACGGCACCGGCACCGGGCACGGGGTGGGATGGGCTGAGGCGGGCGGGACGGGCCCGGGGCCGCCGGCCCCGGCGCCTCTCGGGGCTGCCCGGGGCGGGCAGCGGGCGCGGGAGGCTGAGGGCGCGGTGGGAAGGCCGTCAGCTGTGGGGAGCCGCGAGCGGGTGAAGCGAGGGGCTGGGGCCGAGCGGAACGAGGGGACACGGCGTGGGGAGCTCCGCATCGCCGTACCGGTGCTGGTACCTGCTGGGCGGGCCCCCGGGAAAGCCGGGATCGGGGAATGCCGGAATGGCCATTCCATTCCACCCCCTGCCAGGGGCAGGGACACCTCCCACTATCCCAGCTTGCTCCAAGCCCTGGCCTCGGTCACTTCCAGGGGTCCAGGCACAGCCACGGCTTTTCTGTGCCAAAGCCTCAGCACACTCACAGGGAAGAATTTCTTCCCAGTGTCCAATGTAAACTTCCCCTCTGTCAGTTTGAATCCATTCCCACTTGTCCTGTCATTATTGTATCCAAGGATATAATAATGTGTGTTATATCCCAGGAGTGTGCATCCCCTTGTGTCCTTCAGTTTCCCATGGCAGCTCCTGCCATCCTGCTCAGCAATCCCAGGCGTGGTGCAGATCCTCTGCAGGGTCTTCCAGCCCTTCCCAAGGTGTCTGTGGCAGCCCCGAGGGCAAGCTCTGGGGCACAGCCCAACCCCAACATCAGGGGCCAGTTCAGAGGGCTTTCCCAGCTTTAAGAACTCCATGATTCTGGTTTGTGTGACCACATAACTCTAAAAGGGAGCACTGAATTGTCTGGTTCCTTCCAGGGCTGTGCTGGGCCCTCGCTGCCATGGCCATGCAGATGCAGCTCGAGGCCAGTGCAGACACCTCAGCAGAGGAGGAGAGCTTTGGGCCACAGCTCATATCCAGGTTGGAGGTAGGTGAGGAGTTACCTCTGAAGGAAGTTTTCCATAGATGCACTCGCTGCTCTTTTTTGTAGAATGGAATCCTGTGGTGGTTTGGGTTGAAAGGAACCTTAAAAGCTCATCCCATTCCATCCCCTTTCACCATCCCAGCTTGCTCCCAGCCCCCTGAGCATTTCCAGCCTCTCTACCAGGGCCTCACCACCTCGCCAGGGAAGAATTCCTTACTAATATCCAACCTAAACCTTTTAAAAGCAAGGTGAAACTGAAAACTCTGTTGCTAAATTCTTACTTGTGTTCTGTTAAAAAAACTGGTTTGGGTTGGAAGGAACCTTAAAAGCTCATCCCATTCTATCCCCTTTCACTATCCCAGCTTGCTCCCAGCCCCCTGAGCATTTCCAGCCTCTCTACCAGGGCCTCACCACCTCGCCAGGGAAGAATTCCTTACTAATATCCAACCTCAACCTTTTTCTTTAAAAGCAAGGTGACACTGAAAACTCTGTTGCTAAATTCTTACTTGTATTCTGTTAAAAACAAAAAAAACCAAACAAACAAAAAACTCAGAAATACCCAAAAACTAAAAAATTTAAAAAAAAACCCAAAAAACCAAAACAAAACAAAAAAAAAAACCCAAACAAAAAAAAACCACCTCAGAAATACCCAAAAATACCAGCAGGTGTCATCTTTCCTCTCTCCCTCTGTGCCCCTCTCCCAGCAATGTGGCATAAATGCCAACGATGTGAAGAAGCTGGAAGAAGCTGGGTTTCACACAGTGGAGGCCGTGGCTTATGCACCAAAGAAGGAGCTGCTGAACATTAAAGGCATCAGCGAAGCCAAAGCTGACAAAATCTTGGTAAGGATGTCCTGGAACTTTGACCCAAGATATTCCACAGATTTATTTCTGCTGGCTGAAAGTGTTGTGGTGAATCTGGAAGGTGTCCAAAGGGCAGTAAGGGTGATTAGAGGTGTGACATGACTTGTGATGGGAAAAGGCAAAACGCACCAGGACAGGACTGAACTGAACAGGGGAGGACAAGTGGAGGATGTTTCCATAAAAAAAACCACAAAAAGTGATGTTGGAGCTTTTTCTTGGAGCAGAATTTCAGTTCTGTTCAGAGGTACCAACTGGTGCAAGGTCTGTGAAATGTGCTTGGAATGATACAGGCACCTCTCCACAAGGCAGGAAATATTAATTACTGGGGGATTAACGAGTGCCATTACTCCCCTGGCACTGCTCACTTGGCTTTCCCTCAGGCTGAGGCTGCCAAACTGGTTCCCATGGGCTTCACCACGGCCACAGAATTCCACCAGCGGCGGTCGGAGATCATCCAGATCACCACTGGCTCCAAAGAGCTGGATAAGCTGCTCCAAGGTCAGCATTCCATTATTTCTCTTTCCTGCTTAACCTCAGTTATTGGGGTGGGGTTTTCCCACGAGTGGGATCCTTGTACAGAATCATGTAAGACAAGTCCTGGTTGGATAAAAAAGCCTCTAGGACTGCTCTTGAATAATTGCTTTTATTTTAGAAGCTGCAGAAATAGCTTTTAGTCCTTTTAGTCATGAGGCAAGACCCAGAGCTGTCCATTTTCGGATGTTTCTGGTTTATTTAAGTCCATGATGTGTTCAGGGAAAACAAAACCAGGCATCACCATCTCCCTATTCCTCTGGTAATTTAAAAGTGAAAACAAGTAAATTCAGCTCTTCAGCATCTCCAAAAACACCCATGAGCTTCTTAACCACAGCATGAACAAATCTCATGATGTGACAAACAATTTTCCCTCTTAGTTTTGAAACCTTCAGCCAAATTCAATGTTTAACTGAGTCTCTGTAAATGTAATGTTTTATATGTGAGCTAGATCTGCATGTGACCTTTTGATTTTTATTGTTATTAATAATAATTAATTATGGTTCTTTTCCCTTCAGGAGGAATAGAAACTGGGTCCATAACAGAATTATTCGGGGAATTCCGTACTGGGAAGACGCAGCTGTGTCACACCCTGGCCGTCACCTGTCAGGTGGGGGGCTCACCTCCTTACACTCCAATATTCAGGCCCCACAGCCTTGGGATATTTGCTAATTTGGGCACTTCCTTTTACTTTCCAAGTGTTTATTGCTGTCTAGAGGTTTCTATTCCCTAAAATATTAGAGGCTTGGACATAATTTGATCATTCAGTTGACTCCCTAAACTTCCCAGCTCAAAGCTGAGAAAGCACATGTCGTCTTGTGTAGTGTCATGGAATGCTGGAATGGTTTTGGTGGGAAGGGACCTTAAAGCCCCTCCAGTTCTGTGGGCAGAGACACCTTCCTCTATCCCTGCTTGCTCCAAGCCCCATCCAGCCTGGCCTTGCACACTTCCAGAGATCATGGGGCAGCCACACTTCTCCAGGCAACCTGAGCCAGGGTCTCAGCACCCTCCCAGGGAAGAATTTCTTCCCAGTATCTCATTTATCCATGCCCTGTGTTAGTGGGAGGCCATTCCCCCTCATCCTGGCACTCCAGGGTGACAGGTACTACAAAAGGAAGGTGTCAGCAGCGATGGGGACCAGGGATCTTCCACTTTTCCCAGCTAAATGGGACTTTAATCCCAACAGCTTGGGATGTTATTTGTTGTATGAGCTCAGTGAGGGCACGTGGCAATAGCTGCTGTATTTATGGATGCTTTGTTCCCTGTTCATCCCTTTCCTTCTCCTTTAGCTCCCCATAGACCGCGGCGGCGGCGAGGGCAAAGCCATGTACATCGACACGGAGGGCACCTTCCGTCCTGAGCGGCTCCTGGCCGTGGCTGAAAGGTCTGTGGCTGGGAGGCAGGAATAGAGGGACTCACAGCTCAGCTGGAAAATGTTTTCCACAGGTCCTGGGGGTTGATTTGGCAGGTGTTCCCTTTGGGAAGCTCTGGTGTTGCCATTCCTCTCCTGTCCCTGCTGCTGTCTCCCCAGAGCTCTCAAGTCATTGTCCCTTGGTACAGGTGATTTCCCTGTCTTTTGCTGCTGGAAGGGACTGGGAGCTTCCCAAGCAGCTGGGGACAGGACTGGCTGGATCCTGTTTGCTCTTTCTGAAGGGAATTTGACCTAATCCTGCTGGCTTCTCCTGCCACTAGGACTGCTCCCATGTTCCTTATCACCAGGGAATACTTGGCAGCCAAGCGAAGGACAGGAAGTGAAATGATGTTTGCAGCAGGCACCGGTGTGTCTGTGCTGGCCATATACAGAGTGTCCTTGGAATCAGGGAATTGTTCAGGCTGGAGGAGCCCTGGGAGACCCCCATGCCCAGCTGTTCCCCAGGTGCTGCCAAGGCCACCACTGTCCCATGTCCCCAAGTGCCACATCCACACGGCTTTAGATCCCTCGAGGCATGGAGCCTCCACCACTGCCCTGGGCAGCCTGTGCCAGGCTTGGACAGCATTTCCTCTAAGAGACTTTCCAATATCCAGCCTAAACCTCCCCTGGTATCACATGAGGCCATTTCCTCTTATCCATTTCAGATGGTTCCAATATTCCTTTCTCTTTTCATCACCACAGGCTGCATTTTTTTTCCATCTCTGGGGATGTGGGTTTTTCTTCCAGTCTTTTGGCGAAGCTCCTGGCTAACTGCTATGGATCGCCACTAGGACTGCTCCCATGTTCCTTATCACCAGGGAATACTTGGCAGCCAAGCGAAGGACAGGAAGTGAAATGATGTTTGCAGCAGGCACCGGTGTGTCTGTGCTGGCCATATACAGAGTGTCCTTGGAATCAGGGAATTGTTCAGGCTGGAGGAGCCCTGGGAGACCCCCATGCCCAGCTGTTCCCCAGGTGCTGACAAGGCCACCACTGTCCCATGTCCCCAAGTGCCACATCCACACGGCTTTAGATCCCTCGAGGCATGGAGCCTCCACCACTGCCCTGGGCAGCCTGTGCCAGGCTTGGACAGCCTTTCCTCTAAGAGACTTCCCAATATCCAGCCTAAACCTCCCCTGGTATCACGTGAGGCCATTTCCTCTTATCCATTTCAGATGGTTCCAATATTCCTTTCTCTTTTCATCACCACAGGCTGCATTTTTTTCCATCTCTGGGGATGTGGGTTTTTCTTCCAGTCTTTTGGCAAAGCTCCTGGCTAACTGCTATGGATGAAGTTGTCACTCAAGGTTCATCCCTTTGTTTTCCCTGGTTTTGCAGGTATGGCCTGTCTGGCAGTGATGTCCTGGACAACGTGGCCTACGCTCGGGGCTTTAACACCGACCACCAGACCCAGCTGCTGTACCAGGCCTCGGCCATGATGGCTGAGTCACGGTAATTACACTGATTTCATGGATTTTGTTCCCACGTGGGATCAGCCTTTGGCTTCTCCAGGGAGCCAGTTTGCTCCATGGGCAGTCAGCTGTCAGCAGCACGTCTTGCTGCTGGAATTCTGGGTGCCAGCAACTGGCTCCAGCTGCTGTGGCTGCACAAACACTGGGAATTCATGGTTCCTCAGTGCCAGCCTGAGGAGCCAGTTGGAAGCTCAGTTTACAACTGTGGTTAGAAACAGCACTGATGATTTCCAAGCTGCCAGGAGAGCTGTGCAGGCAGCTTGGGGTTGGAAGTGAGACTTAGAGGCTGCCTGTCCCTTGCCAGGTACGCGCTGCTGATCGTGGACAGCGCCACGGCCCTGTACCGCACGGATTACTCGGGAAGGGGGGAGCTCTCTGCCAGGCAGATGCACCTGGCCAGGTTCCTGCGGATGCTGCTGCGCCTGGCGGACGAGGTGAGCTCCCACTGGGCTTTATGTCATGGCTTGATGCTGGCCAAACACCAGGCACCCATGAAATCTGCTCGCTCACGCTCCTCTACAACTGGACAGAGGAGAGAAAATGTAATGAAGGGTTTGTGAGTTGAGGTAAGGACTGGGAGAAAACACTCATCAGTTACCAGCGAGGGAAAAACAGGCTCAACTTAGAGATTTGAAGTGACTTCATTACTAACAAAATCAGAGCAGGATAATGAGAAGTAAAATAAGCTCTTTAAAAAACACCTTATCCTCACACTCCCTCCTTCCCAGCTCTAACTCCTGTGCCAGTGGCACAGTGAGATGGGAATGGGGGGCTTGGTCAGTTCATCCACCCAAGGCTTCTCCCACTGCTGCACCATGGGGTCCCTTCCATAGGAGACAGTTCTCTAGGAGCTTCTCTGATGTGGCTCCATCCCACAAGCAGCTGGACAGGCTGCTCCAGTCTGGAAGCAGGGCCCCTTTCCACTGGCTCTCCCACTGGATCACAGCCTCCTGCAGGCATCCACCTGCTCCAGCATGGGGCTCCTCTGCAGGCTGCGGGTGCATCTCTATCCCCTGTGGATCCCCACGGGCTGCAGGGAGGATCATGGTCCTCACCATGCCCTGCAGAGGAATCTCAGCTCTGGCACCTGGAGTGCCTCCTCCCCCTCCTTCTTCACTGCCCTTGGTGTCTGCATCTTGTTCTCCTCATATGCTCACTCCTGCTCTTCCCTAGCTGGAATTGAAGCTGCACCACAGGTTTTGTTTTGATTTCCCCAGAGCTCTCAAGTCATTGTCCCTTGGTACAGGTGATTTCCCTGTCTTTTGCTGCTGGAAGGGACTGGGAGCTTCCCAAGCAGCTGGGGACAGGACTGACTGGATCCTGTTTGCTCTTTCTGAAGGGAATTTGACCTAATCCTGCTGGCTTCTCCTGCCACTAGGACTGCTCCCATGTTCCTTATCACCAGGGAATACTTGGCAGCCAAGCGAAGGACAGGAAGTGAAATGATGTTTGCAGCAGGCACCGGTGTGTCTGTGCTGGCCATATACAGAGTGTCCTTGGAATCAGGGAATTGTTCAGGCTGGAGGAGCCCTGGGAGACCCCCATGCCCAGCTGTTCCCCAGGTGCTGACAAGGCCACCACTGTCCCATGTCCCCAAGTGCCACATCCACACGGCTTTAGATCCCTCGAGGCATGGAGCCTCCACCACTGCCCTGGGCAGCCTGTGCCAGGCTTGGACAGCATTTCCTCTAAGAGACTTTCCAATATCCAGCCTAAACCTCCCCTGGTATCACATGAGGCCATTTCCTCTTATCCATTTCAGATGGTTCCAATATTCCTTTCTCTTTTCATCACCACAGGCTGCATTTTTTTCCATCTCTGGGGATGTGGGTTTTTCTTCCAGTCTTTTGGCAAAGCTCCTGGCTAACTGCTATGGATGAAGTTGTCACTCAAGGTTCATCCCTTTGTTTTCCCTGGTTTTGCAGGTATGGCCTGTCTGGCAGTGATGTCCTGGACAACGTGGCCTACGCTCGGGGCTTTAACACCGACCACCAGACCCAGCTGCTGTACCAGGCCTCGGCCATGATGGCTGAGTCACGGTAATTACACTGATTTCATGGATTTTGTTCCCACGTGGGATCAGCCTTTGGCTTCTCCAGGGAGCCAGTTTGCTCCATGGGCAGTCAGCTGTCAGCAGCACGTCTTGCTGCTGGAATTCTGGGTGCCAGCAACTGGCTCCAGCTGCTGTGGCTGCACAAACACTGGGAATTCATGGTTCCTCAGTGCCAGCCTGAGGAGCAAGTTGGAAGCTCAGTTTACAACTGTGGTTAGAAACAGCACTGATGATTTCCAAGCTGCCAGGAGAGCTGTGCAGGCAGCTTGGGGTTGGAAGTGAGACTTAGAGGCTGCCTGTCCCTTGCCAGGTACGCACTGCTGATCGTGGACAGCGCCACGGCCCTGTACCGCACGGATTACTCGGGAAGGGGGGAGCTCTCTGCCAGGCAGATGCACCTGGCCAGGTTCCTGCGGATGCTGCTGCGCCTGGCGGACGAGGTGAGCTCCCACTGGGCTTTATGTCATGGCTTGATGCTGGCCAAACACCAGGCACCCATGAAATCTGCTCGCTCACGCTCCTCTACAACTGGACAGAGGAGAGAAAATGTAATGAAGGGTTTGTGAGTTGAGGTAAGGACTGGGAGAAAACACTCATCAGTTACCAGCGAGGGAAAAACAGGCTCAACTTAGAGATTTGAAGTGACTTCATTACTAACAAAATCAGAGCAGGATAATGAGAAGTAAAATAAGCTCTTTAAAAAACACCTTACCCCCACACTCCCTCCTTCCCAGCTCTAACTCCTGTGCCAGTGGCACAGTGAGATGGGAATGGGGGGCTTGGTCAGTTCATCCACCCAAGGCTTCTCCCACTGCTGCACCATGGGGTCCCTTCCATAGGAGACAGTTCTCTAGGAGCTTCTCTGATGTGGCTCCATCCCACAAGCAGCTGGACAGGCTGCTCCAGTCTGGAAGCAGGGCCCCTTTCCACTGGCTCTCCCACTGGATCACAGCCTCCTGCAGGCATCCACCTGCTCCAGCATGGGGCTCCTCTGCAGGCTGCGGGTGCATCTCTATCCCCTGTGGATCCCCACGGGCTGCAGGGAGGATCATGGTCCTCACCATGCCCTGCAGAGGAATCTCAGCTCTGGCACCTGGAGTGCCTCCTCCCCCTCCTTCTTCACTGCCCTTGGTGTCTGCATCTTGTTCTCCTCATATGCTCACTCCTGCTCTTCCCTAGCTGGAATTGAAGCTGCACCACAGGTTTTGTTTTGATTTCTTCTTAAATCTGTTATCACACTGGTGATAACAATTATCACAATGGGGTAATTACCACCATTTCTGATTGGCCCAGCCTTGACCAGGAGCATGTCCTTCTGGGAGCCAACCTGGAATTGGCTCTGCCAGACATGGTGGAAGCTTCCAGCAGCTTCTCACAGAAGCCACCTCTGTGCCCCCCCCCACTACCAAATCCTGGCTATGGAAACCCAGTACAATTGCCAAAGTAAAACTCACTGGTTTTCTTACAAACCCCAGCGATTTGGTCCCAAGGGCTTTGTCTCCGCCTCTGCTCCCGTTGGTTTGGAGAGGCTGGATCCCACACTTACGGACACCAGGAGTGCCCCTGTGTCCTTTTCCCTGCTTTTCTGTTCTGATTGTGGGAAATAACTGGGTTTGGGTTGTTTCTCCTGCAGTTCGGCGTGGCCGTGGTCATCACGAACCAGGTGGTGGCACAGGTGGACGGAGCTGCCATGTTTGCTGCAGATCCCAAAAAGCCCATCGGAGGCAATATCATTGCTCATGCTTCCTCCATGGGGCGTGGCCAGGGCCGTGACCGAGGCTCCGAGGGGCGGGGCCGGGGCTCCGAGGGGCGGGGCCGGGCCCGGCTCAGGTGCGCGGGGCAAACTCGGCTCAGGTGCGCGGGGCCCCAGCGCGGCTGCGCGGGGCGGGGCCGAGGTGATTTAAAGCCCGGAAATCGCCTCCGCCGCCATTTGCTCACTGCGAGCTCGGTGCGGGCGGCGGCTCCGTGTCCGCGCTCCCCGGGAGCGGCGCGGGACATTCGGCCTCCCCTCCTGTCCCCCTCTACCCCTCCTTCCTCCTCCCCGTGCTCCCCTGCTTTTTCTCTCTTTCCCCCTCTTCCCTCTGTGCCCCAAGCCCTCCCCGCCTTTCGCCCCAAACCCCCCCACTCCTTCCTCTCCTGTCCCTACCCCGTTAATTCCTTCTATTCCCCCCGTCTCCCTCCTCTGTCCACGTTTCTTTTTCCTTTCCTTTC